TGTAAAACTTCACTTTACCTTGAATGCAAATTTTGCTATTACAGACTGACCGCTTTCTGCAGCGGTTCATACATACCAAACACTGAAAATCTTAATGAAAAATTACGTTGAAGTAGAAAAACAATATTGATGCATTTATGGCTTCTATTCTACAATAAAGAAACACCATAAAACATGATTTAAAAAACCAACTTGTTCTGGTCACAGCTTTGCAATTACAAATCACTCTCTACATGGAAATACTTTCATTTAAGTTCAAGTATCAACCCTTCAAAGTACCCAACTTGGCACATCATTGCTCAGATGAGTAGTCCTTATACTCACAAGCAGTCCAGTTGAAGCCTATGTGAGTAACAGTCTGCATAAGCAGGAACCAGGTTTGGAATGCTAAAATATTCCTTTGTTTAATAAAGATCTATTGGTTAACAGCAAGGAAACTGGGGGAGCCAGGGCAGAGGGGGCGGAGGGAGAAACTCATTTGTTGAGTTTTGTTACCACTGAAAACATCCAGTAACCAAGAAAGTTGAACTGACAAACTCATTTGCTTACATAGCGCTAGCTTCTCGATATTTTATGAGCAGACTTTTAACAAAGGCATTAAAAAACAGGGAACAGCAGTCACCATGCATTGCCTCAGAACACTTAGAAATATTGCCTCATGCAGACAGAATGACAAATTCATCAGAACTACAAATGCTTTTACACAATACATAAGGAAAAAAAGGGAAAAAACTTCTCTCCTTAAATTTAACACGTATTCCAAATTACTTATCATTCAAGATGGGTTTAAATGTAATGAAAGAAGTCTTAAGACACTTAACACGATCTTTGTAACACTGAATTTTATGGATGCATGTGGACATACAGGAATCTTCAGCTATCTCTTATGTGTTTCAAAATACTGTATTTATCATTTTATACAAATAGAATGATGACTAAGTATAAATCTGTTGAAACTGCTTTGCAAAAATAAGTGTAAAATTAGGAAATGGCAAGAAAAAATTCCAAATACAAATTATCAATAGGTTTGACAAAATTTGTTTCCTGTTACTTACTCTTTAGAATCATTTATATATATCTATGTATATATTTAAAAATAATCAAGCAACAGTATTTATATAAGATACCCGATTTCTAAGTGCCACTGGTTCAACTTTTTCATGGAAATTTTTAATGCTAACTTGTAAATGTTATGCACTGCACATGAAACAGATGGAAAAGTCCATGTGAACTCTATATTTAATAGACATTTGAATTTTCAAACAATAAAAACAGAGGCATTGTTATGAGCATTTTTGCCCAAACTGTTTTTTCTTTAAACAAACATTTGCACAATCCCCTTATTTCAACAAAGATATGATGTACTAACAGGATGGTAATAGTTTATATTACTGTGTACTCAACATGAAAATAAAGTGCATATTGTATACCTGACCTGACTTAAAAATGGGCACACATAGCTAAGATGATCTTACAATTTAACATAGAATTGTATGAGCAATCAATAAACACAGAATTGCCACGTTTCTTTTCTACTGTTTCCAAGAAGCGGTATGTTCCAACCACTAATTACCAGAAAAAGTATAGAGACAGGAGAAAAACCCATCAGAAGTAATAAAAAATGAAAAATGCACTTTGTGAAATACTAATTAAAATTCTGAAGGGATGTAAGGATGAAACGCTGTGGTAAGACTATCTTAAAAACCTTAAATTGCAATCTAAATTTAGGATCTTAGAGCTGTTTCAGTTGCTTTCTTCCTTTTTAGGATAGTTGAACTGGGGAAATACTGTGTGTTATTTTCCACAAACTGTATTACAATGGTGAGACAGAATTTTATTTCATAGGAAGAATAAGAGATCATGTAAATTTCTCATTGTAAATATTTTACAATCAGAGTAGATTCTTTTCTGCAAAATCAGCAATTAAACCATTTAGAACAGAAAAAACCCAATAATAATAAAAAAATTACCCATAAGGAGAGTATGTATGCATTAAGTAATTTTATATGAGATAAGTACACTGGAAGATTATAAAGGACCAACAGTGTCATGGTTAATTTCAGAAATGTTTTGAAGTTGCTCATTGTCCCTTGGATGACAGAAAATAGAGATTCCCATTTTAGGAAAGGGGCATGCCCCCAAATTTTTTCTTGCCTTAGGTCAAGTGATTTGGCCCTCCCATATTGATCCATCTATTTATCTATGCCTGAAATGGCTTTTCTGAAGGCAGTTCTTGTCTGCATGACTGACTGGCAGTACTGTTTCTAGTGGGATACGTTCCCTTTGTCCCTGTGTCTTCTGTTTTCTGTTTAAACATCACCCCGGGAAAGTGAGAGGAAGACATTGCATAACATGCATATGAAATGCAGACTGCCTTCCCATTGATACGCCTTCCTAAATATGTACTTTCATATAGTGCCTTTTGTTGGGCTTTCTATATGTATTTCTAAGTTTCTCTTAGAGTGTAAGAAAGTTGGACAGTGCAATGAAGTCACATGTGAAGTGTTCAGTTAGATGAAAGGCAAGGAGGTAAAGTCACCTTTACTAAGTATGTGACTAATGAAGGAGGGCAGAGAAAAGATGAGATTGGATGACTTGCTACTTTTAAGTTGAAAGTGGATGATTTTGAGACCAAAGAGGAAATTCTTAATTGAACAGATCATTGGGGATGTCATTGTTCTGCTTTTCCATCTAGTTGATCTCCATTCAAAGAAAAAAAAAACAAAACATTTCTGTGTAATGCACAGAAATGTAATTAAAAATAAAACCAACTGCTGCTGTAGAAAAATGTATTTTAAATGTAATTATAGTGGCTTTTAAACTCAGAATTAAACATGGACTAAAAAGCTACAAGATTTAACTAAATTCTGAAGGTAAAGTAGCTTTTCTTAGTTTGAAACCTGATTGTTGTTGGGTGGTAAGCTGGGAAATACCAAGTATAACTACTTAAAAAAGTTATCATAATGTTCTTATTTAACACCTCCCTCTTTTTTTTTTTTTCTTAAACCAGGTGTGTATCATCTTCTGCAGTCACATCCTCTCCATTTTTAATTAAAGGTGAGAGTATATAGGCATTCCGCATGACCAGTAAGTTGTAAAGAGGGTGCTGTGATGTATTTCACACTTTTATAGGAAGTGGCTTTAGTGCAAATAAAACGGTACATACCACAGACTAACGAAGGGCTTGCTTTGCTCTCTATTTCAATGTATGCATTTCTACTAATTTTAGTATAAAAATGTTGAAAATTTAATTAATTTTAAAAAATAAGTTAAACTAAACTTTCTTTTGAACCTACAGTATCAGCAGGTACAACTAAGCATCACAAAAATCAAAATTTGCTAAAGGGAAGTAAGGCAGAGCAATTCTTAAAAATTGAACAAAATAATACATGTACTCAATTTTACAAGGTGGCAGCCATTTTCAGCATATGCAATACTAAATGAAAATAAGGGAAAAGCTTGTATAAGGCCAAAGGTGCAAAGACTTGCAGTTTTGAAAGCAAATGCCGTAAAGGCCACTCAAATTAAATTCACTGTACTGTAAATCTTTGTCCTCAAGCGCGGAGACTCAAGCATGCAGTTCTGCGATCAGGACTGGAGTTAATTTCCTTTCAAATAATTTCTAACAGAAAACATTTATGGAACTTCTTTGGCAAATGTTTTTAGGTTAGTTTGACACAAACATCTATAAACATCTTGAGTCAAAATCTTTCTCAAAGAAGGTGAATTAACACCATTAAGATACTATTTTTTCAGCACTTGTTGAAATCAAAGGCTTGTTATCAACTGTATTTAAATATATTAACACTTAAAAACCTTCACAGATGCTAATGGTCTGTCAATGTAAAGTATGTTTAGCGATCTGACCATTGCCTTCCGAGTATACGACCTGTATTGATTCAACTTCATTGTACAATAAGCAAGCTGGCAAGATACAAGGTAAATTCCAATCTGTTTACAAGGGCTAAGCAAATACTTGTTAAAAAATTTGGAGATGGTGTGTTACAGTATAGTTGCACAGTGCTTATGTCTACTGAATACACAAATCCAAACTTTATGGAACAAGACCATCCTAGATCTTTAAATCTCTGATAACTGGGCCCATGGTCCCAGCTCCCAGCAAAGATCTAGTAGTCTGTCTCACAAAAGTAACTACTAAGGCCTAAAACTTGAGCTGTGTTTCTTCACCATTCCTCAGGCCTTTGTTTTGTGGTATCGTAAGCTCTTATTACTTCAGACTGGGAAACTATTCCATTTTCATCTTGAGAGAAGGCGTAGCCATCTGCACATATAAAACAAAAAGAAACCAATTCAGTTTTGATCTGATTTTTTTGTTAAAGCTTTAACAAAAACAACTTAACAAAGGTCAGTAAAGGGGAATAAAACTCTTTTCAGCAATTAGTAGGTAGAAACCCCATGCCATTTCTTACATAATTTTGCAGTTATAAAATAGCAGAAAAAAACTCTGTGCAGTATCTTAGAAATGAAGAGAAAGATATCAACAGGCAAAGAACATGGTCTACTGGGTTCAGGATACTGCATCTTTACTATAAACATGCAGTGAAAGGTAGAATTTTACTTCTATATTATTAATGGATATTAATTTGTAATTCTCAGCGAACACTTACGAAGCAAGTTTTGCTGCAGAGAGTCAGAGCGATACAAGTTCACATGATTCTTCTTAAAAACATTCTTCAGTAGTTGGGCTCTTTCAGTTAAGCTAGAAAGGAAGTGGACATGTGTGAAAAATATTTACTTACTAATTACAGTATTGCTTTATCTTTGAGTCTGTTAAATGACAATCAATTATTAAATGACAAGTGTCCATACTCCTTTTTTTAATTGTGCAAGGGCAGATTATGAAGTCCAGATCCCTGGTAATGTTTTTACTCATCACAGTACAGACAAAACATCTGTCTGAAGCACTGTTGTGTGTTGACAATACAAACAAATGAAAAACATTGTAAACATTTGAGTGCGACTCCTTTAGAAACATGCAGTGTAAAGGGAAGGCACTGGCTTCCTTGACATAGCGTGGCCTGGTTAGTGCCAGGCTGAATTACAGTCTTTCTTTTTCTTACATAAGAAAGTGCTCTTAGCCTCTACTGACACAGTAGCCCAAAGGGATGGGAAAAGAAGATGGAGGGAAAGTCACATCCATGGCCATCAGTTGTGTGTACAGAAACATGTTATTTCCATTAAAAGTGTTCTAGCAAGATATATTCCCCATGAAACTCTAGAAGTGTTTTTCTGGAGTTCATACCCAAATAACAGACTACTACTACTACTAGAGGTTGGTCACTTCAGCCCATCTCCTTCCTTCTTAGCAGTATTGAGTCTGTTATGTGTTTACTGTGCTTTAATGTGATCCAAGTGACTCTCCATTTCAGCCCAACTAGAAAATAGAAGGAGTATTAAACAGTTTTTAAACTGAGAAGCAAGCATCAGCTGAATGCTGCAGACTGCAATGAATGGAGTAGTGAAGGTACCAGGTTTCCTTACCGTCCATCTTTCTTACATTTAAAGTTCTTTCAAATAGGATCCTACATTACTAAATAATGTAGCCATAGCTCAGAAAGCTTCCAAAATCTGACAATTTTGATGACATATTAAAGATGTGCAAGGGACTATATTTAAAAAAAACTCACACAAAACCTTCAATTTCTTCCTCTAGGTTTGATATTCACTGTGAATTACAGCCTGTGTTTCAGAGAAATACCAACCTATTATTTAAACATTTCCAATGCAGAAAAATCCAGCCCCTCCCCATGCGAACTGGTCTAAAAATTAGTTCACTTAAAAAACAAAGTACCTTATGTTTATTCTGAGTATATAGTGATTTGATTTTGTTATAGTTTTGCTAGATTACCAAAGTTGAATCTTGTGTAAGGATGTAGTAAGTAAAACAGATCTCACATACCTATGTTACTGAATTTTGATCAGTCAAATTACTTTTCAATATTATTGTCAATAGCTCAACAGACTTACCTTCCCAGGCTACCAACCAGACTAAGTGATGCAAGGAATGGAACTAGACTGCTTCCCTTACTAGATTACCTTTCAAATCATTACATTAGAAATGCTCATTCTTTCTTCAGTGAGTATATACTTCTTATATCTGAAGCTGAACCATTGTGTTAAACTGGAGAGACTAATGGTCTGTCTTGCGTTTCTGTTCCCCTCCAGTCTGGTGGTTAATGCATATAACATGAGATGAAAGCTTGGCTCTTCTAAGCTGGAAGAGGGAAATAAACCTACTATTACCATACCCATGGAGGAATGCTAACTGCAAAATCTACAGGCTAAGGGGATAGGCAGGGGAAACTGTGGCCATGTTTTGAATGAAAAGATGGAATGAGTCTTCCTTGTAAAAAAAGAATTAGGTATCAATTGCAGGAAAGCTGTCAGCATCTGCTGACTGAACCAAGAATGGAGAAGCGGGAGTACTGAGACACACCTTACTCTCAGTGTTTTCATAAGCTAGCTCTTTGGAGACTTTTTTCTTTTTTTTTTTTCTTTTTTTTTTTTTTTTTCTCTATCCTAATTGTTCCTCTAGGCTGTCTAGGAGCCTTGTTTTTTAGTTCAGAGCAACAAACTGTTAAAGTGACAAGATTAATAAAAAATTAGAGACTGAGGTTTAAATCACAAGGATACACAGAGTGAATAAATAAATATCTTCATGTAAGATGGGACATCAAAGAGGTGGAAGACCATGCAAATACTTAGATACAGTTACCAGCTGTATCTCCTCTGCAATACATCTGAGAAACCCTTCTTAATGTGAGTTGAAATCAGCAAATTTCTATGAATTTTTTGGTTTTGACAGGTGTTATTTTCTAATAAAAAACTATTTTACTAAAAAAATAGCAGGCCTATTCTAGCATTTTTTGTACAATCGTTATTCTTTGCTTGTGTTCCAGAAAGAAATGTTCAGATTGCTTAAATGCACTGAAAATATTGCCTTAAGTTTACAAGAACATGAAGTATGCACATTTCTTAGTTTATGTATAATGAAGTTTCCACTGCACAGATCTGATTGCTGGTACAGAAAATACAAATTAAGTAGGAAATACATTTGGGGAAAGAAAAGTGCTTCCAGCTATTCAGGTATTAAATTCTGCTCTACTTCTATACTTGAAATACTGCAGGCTCTTTATTATGAATCACCCTGTTGCCATTCAAAAGCATATTTAAAAATCTACATGCGAAGCCAAGAAAACATGGTTTCATAATTAACCAATGATAAATCATAGTAACTAAATGCCTATGTTTATTATGTGTACCTATATGGACAAGCAGAATAGTAACTATTTTTCAACATGAAATGTATACATTTACAGGCAATTAATCTCATTTATAGAAAAAAATGTTACTACTTTATATATTCCTGACTAACCACTTTGCTGATCTAAAAATAATTTCCAAGTGGACTGAATGAAAAGCAATGATTATATGAAGCAGCATTTGCAGTATATATATCTAAAGATGTTTCCACAAGTTTGGGCTGTTATTCATGTTATTGTTAGTCTATGTAGTATTCAACCTGGTAAAAATATTTTTGTATTAATACTGTTGTTTCTGCTTAAGCACTACATACAAGGTATCAGAAAAACTGTTTTAGAACAATGGTTTATATACAAAAAATACCCTTTACCTTAGTCATTTCAGTTTTAAGTAGAAATGCCTTTGTGGCATTTCAATTACAATGGCTCTAATGATAGATATCATACTTTTTGTGGCACAAATTTGTTAATTCACTGAAGTTGCTCTACTATTTATGCTATCAAGGCACCCTCCAGTCAGCAGTATTCCAACATGGAAGTTTACTTTCTGTTGGAAAAGTGACCATGCAAAATTCACACCTTCTTGCTCAAGATATAGTCTTACTTAACTGACAAATATATGCAATAAAACCAATTTCAATGTGTTGCCTACAGAAGAACAGAATAAAGTATTTTTAGGCAATTTTTGGGAAAAATCTGATTACACATCCTTACACACACTGAAACAGCACAATATGATAGGAATGCTCTTCCTGAGCCTTCAATGATAACAGCTTAAAAACCTTTTTAAAGGACCACTGTAAAAATACAAGGGATGACAGATTTTTATGACTATGTTAGCATGTCCTACTTTTAAAGCATATGCTTAAATACAGTAAAGATCTTTGAAGAACAATATTTTAAATTATTTCAATATAAATGTCATTTTTTATCCTAATTTTAAGAAAACAGCTGAAAGTACAAATTTAGAATTTAAATAGAAAATTCCCATCCTAAGATTGTTTGATAGGAAAACATCAAAAGGTAAAGCCTTACCATCTTAGTTGTATTTGAATGCATGCAATATTGGGTCAACACAGTTCTAAAAATCTGCAACAAATATACTCTAGCTGAAAGAACACCAATAAAAATTAACACTAATATACTTCTAAATAAACATTCACATACTGTCTGATTACAGCATCCAGCCAATAGTAGAATCCTGACCTGTTATCTGTGGAAGCCGAGCCTCTTATTTTGTGTTGTAGTATTTTTAAGATGGGAATGGACAGAGTGGAAAAGTTCCTGAGTTATCTTTCTCACTATTTCCCAGTTATTTCTTAATCAAACCGTGATTTTTATCTTAGGTTATTTTGGCATTTCATGAGAACAAAGCCCTTCTGCTACAACATAAAAAGGTACTTCCAGAGGTATGCACATAAGAAAAATATTATTTGGTGCTGAAGAACACAGAGTAAGTTTTTCAAAAATAACTATTTGTTCTTGCATGAAAAACACTACAACTCAAGAATAAAAAGTCTCATGTACATATTTAAAACAGATGTAGAGGACATTCCTTGCCAATTTAACTACTTACTCTGCACTGGTAACTAGTTAATCCAGGCTTCTGCAACTTAGGAGACTCAAAAATGTTTACAATAGTTTAATCGAATTTCTGAAGATGCAAGTAACTCAGTTCATCAGACCATTTCTTTAACAAAGAATACTTTCTCGATAAAGAGTGAAGTTTTGGCTCTATTACCTGAATTAAGATATAATTTAAAAAAATAATGTAGGGAATAAATCCTTAAGAGGTATTAAGACATCTAACGTTCATTGATTTGCATGTTAGGTGGATGCTTGTATATTCAAAGAATACAGGTCTAAACTTTGTGGAGAAGGAATAGATCTAAGAAAGACATTCTGGCAGGCAACTAAACAACCTTCATGAAGCCCTCCTAACTACTTAATTGTGGGATAAAAAGATAATTATAAAACTAGTGGTGAAAACACCAAGTTCCTCTCACCTAAGAAAGAAGGGATTTGGAAGACATTCTGTAGGTTGAAGGAAGAGCACACTGCCTAAACGACTGCAGTAAAAGTAGCTGAATTTAGGAATACAAGAGAAGTCTTGGGAAGGCAAGTATGGAACACTAAAAAGGTACATTACCATACTTTCTTCTACATCCACCAGATATACCCCTTTTAGCACTGTCTAGTACTAATACCTGCTTTCTTTTTTGCAATTCATCCTTTTACAGCTTTTGCTCTTTGCAAAAAGAGCACACAGCATACATTGCTTCTTGCTCAAAGCTCAGCACATTGATAGATGAGTTGGTGAATCTGGAGGAAGATCTTGCCCTGAAGGTGCCTGAACGAGCACTGCCACTGGAGAGAGGCATCCATAACAATCAATTTAGATCACCTTTAAAGGTAAGAGAACTTACTCTTGCAAGCACTAGCTGGGTCTTGCAGTGATGAAGGAAAAGTATGCTCGATTCAGGAATTGTCATCAACTAGGGGATTTTGCAGTTCTTCCAGTCTGAAGATGTTGCTACAAAGACAGCTTATAGAGCCTGATAGGAGACACTGTGCTGGTGTGTGCTGCTGTGTAGCCCACCACACTAGACTAGGTGTTGCACAGGTGGTGGGATGAACTTGAAGGCCTCATGGTATCTCCCCTGGTATGTGTCTATGGTACCAGGGAAGATGAACTCCACTACAGACAAAACATTCTTGTGAAAATAATTTCTAGGAAAAGAAAGGAAAAGTACGAGCAAACACTCATATGAGCTGGATATTCCACCCGTCAGAAATGGTGGTCATCACCTTGGTATCCAATGTAATTGGATAGTAAGCTCATTCCCACTGAACTGGAGAAGGGATACAGTAAGATTGAAGAAGGGAACTTAAGTATCTTTATGAACAAAAGGTACTTCCTGAAAATTGAGCCTACAACAAAAGAAGTGGCTGGTTGTTTTTTTTCTGGTCTCTTTCTGTGCATAGCTTGGTAGGAAAAAAGCCTTCTTGGCTAAGCCCTTTGCCATGAAGATACTAAAAGAACAGCAGTCCAAAGGAAAGAAAGAACAGGAAAAATCAAGAATCAACAGTTTCAGCTTTTTTTCGACTTCACAAAACTCATGAAAATGAAGACAAGGAAAGAAAGCTCTAGCTCAGCCAAATAGCACTAATGAATTGGATGGAAGCGGGAGAGAGGGGGACTTTTTCATCTCATACTCCCATACAGCACTTGCTGCGAGTTCAGCTAAGGTTAAAAAGTCTGAAGTATTTTAGTGAGTGCACACCTTCACACTGAGTTTACACAGAAATTTCCAATTGTTCAGTTTTACCTTCTCCCTTTTCAAATTACCTGCCTGACCCATGAAAGAAGATGCAACAAGGGAATTCTTGTGGGGTCTTAAAATTATTTCTTCCCTCACATAGGTTAATCAAATTTGTTTGCTCTGGACTGGCATTAGATATAAAGTCAGTTTGTTCTATTCAATTTCAGCAAACCCTAGACAGATTTTGCTGTTTGCCCCTATACTACCAAGCAGGTTTTAAAAATTTTAGATTTTTTTATTGTTCTCAGGTCCAATTTACAACTACAGTAGTGAATGACGCAAGTTTAAACTCACTTTATATTAATTGTTAACACAGTCAAAAGTGACAGAATTAAAACTGTACCTCAAGTTTGTTCTATACATAATAACTAGAAACATAACAGTCAGCCACAAAGAAACACATCAGTTAAAGCCTTTGGTAAAAACATACGGGCTCAGTAGACCCGAAACCTCTTTACAGATACCTTTTGTTTGCATAGATTTTTAAAAATAACCTTTTGTCTTTGATACATGTATAAGGCTGAAAATATTTACCTTTTTTTTTTTTTTAAAAAAAAGACAACAATCTACAGATTTTTACAGTACCTCTTGCCATGCACAACTGCCCCAGGATCCTCAGACTTTGCTTCCAACTCCTGAACTTCATCTACCAGTGTCTTAAAAGTAGCTCTCTTTACTCTGTAAGTAATACAAAATACTGCCAGATTTACTCTTCTTGAAAGAAAAGAACAGATTGTTTTAACACTTACATAAACATTCAATTTACAAATTAATTTTCCCAGATTATTTAAATTACGCTTTATAAAAAGAAATATTATAAAGAAGTCTAAATAATATATTTTATGAGCTGTTCTTGCAAATTAGAAACAAATATTTATTAACAAGACATTACAATTATTGAAACATTTAAAATACTAATAACACTTGTAATACAGTTTGTCAAAACCAAACAAGGTGAAAAATAATTTTATATAATCACCAGAGCTGATCTTCATTTGCTTTTCTTATATTAGTAATTAGAACACACATTTAAAAGTCAGTACTTTCTCCTGTAAACCTTGGCATTTCTGTACTCACACTTTGTATACTACATCAAGAAGTAAAGCTGTCATAGGAATACATAGAAGTCCCATCCAAAACACTCCAGAGCTGAACATCATAGCTGCCTGGAGGGAAAAAAAGCACAAAAAGTGATGATGTCATGACAAGAACTGGGAAAAAAACCTTAGAAATATCAATTACTTGGTTGAGGGTATCAAAAGCAAATTTAAATGAACCATTCTGGACTGTCTAATGTGAAATAAAACTTTTAACTCTGTTCTAAAATCCCCTGAGTTGCTACAGAGATTCAGTAGACAGTAAGCACTAATTCATGTTAAGAAGCTGGTAGAAAGATCACACTGCTTAGCTCTTTGAGAGAGGGGGAATCTACCCCTCCACAACCCTGCTCTACACCACGATGCTGACTGTAGACATTTCCATTAAAATCAGATTTATTGAAAATCCATTCCCCCTCCCCGCCCCCCCATCTTTGTCAATACATTATGAGCCCAATTTCTTATTTGCAATCAACAGAATATAATGGTTCCTGACCCTTAATACGGATATTGGACACTGTTACAATAATTTTGCAATATAACTCAGATCAAAGTTATCTCCAACAGAACGCCCTGTCCACAGTTCCCAGGCTGCCACAGAGTCCTGTTCAACAAAGTCCTTAAAACTGGGAACTAAGAAAACAACTAATGACATAATTATAGAAGTATGCAACATATTCTTAAATGAAGATCTACACATTAACGCACAGTGGCATATTTGCAAACCAGATCATTGCTTTTAGTTTTGTGTTTGCTTTTTTTATACACTGCTTTATATTAATACATAGGAATTTCTTCTGTTCATAACTTGGTCTGTAAACATACTAACAACTGAAATACACTAAAAAGCCAAAACAAACATCATAATGTATGGACATTAAAGGAAAAAACTCCTTTAATCTACCCTTGTAATTCATGCCCAAGTGTCTACATCAATACTATTATGGATGCAAGGAGTGTGATAAATATTTAATGAAGCATATTACTGAAAGATTGTTTTGCAGTCAGTATTAAAAATATCTTTATAATGTAATTAGATTGCATAGAGATTGAAAGTATCATTGCTACTCAACGATACCCTTTCAAATCCTTTGCTTCATTACTTGGAGACTAATTTCTTTCAAAGGTTAAACCTCAGTACATAACTAAAATAAATAAGCTGAAATTTTACTAATATTAATTAGCAGACAAATGCAGGTAGCTTGCAGTAGCTAAAATCTAATTTCTGAATGTGCATACATGAACATTTTAGAATTATACTTGATATGTTCATGTGTAAAAACAAAATTGAATTATTTTCAGAAAAAAATAAGTCTCATTCTCATGTAAGATCTATTTACCTTATTTTCATATCCAAATTCCTACTGACACTGATTCTTTGGAAAGCATTAGAACGTATTTTAACTGAAAATTTGGTAAACTTTCCACAGCTGTGTTAAAAGGACATAGATATTACCCTGAAATTCTAGTAATTATTTCTGCCAACAGCTGTCAGCAAAGGTGTAAACACTGAGCAGTGATAGGTTCAAAACAAAACAATTCACATTTTCAATGAAGAAGAGAAAAAAGAACATTTTTCTCCACTTCTTGTTAGAAAATTTATTAGCAGTGTCACGTTATAAGCAAAATATGACTTTTGACATACTTGATGAAATACTCATTTCCTAAAACAGCAGCTAATAGGAAATGTCTATCAACTACATTCTGCAAGACATTTTATAATTTAGCAGCAATTAGAGAGAAGTAGCTTCCTAAAAACCAAGAAAAAGTATAAAAATACAACTTGAAGTAATTACGACTCTTACTTCCTACTATTAACAACATTTTTTAATTTAGAAGAACATAGCAAAGAGTTGTCCTTGCATTAGCCACCCTGCATTAAATGTCTGCTGGTGAAACAGCAAAAGTGATAATGTAGGTCTTAGGATGTTAATTCTGACCATTGTGATGCTAACTATGAATGAAGGAACAACTGGCGCCTACTATTCAGTCCATCCAGCCTTTGGCTTTACAAATGAACAACATGAATTGAGAAAAAAAAAAGAAGTTTTTCTGCGTCATATTTGAAAGCCTGTCAGATTTTTTTTCTTTTACAGAGTTAATCCAAACCTAAAAGATTTAAAGCTGACATTCGCATTAAAGACAGAGGGCCTCTTTGTATTTTTTGGATGAAGAGGGGAAAAAATAAAATCCCACAGAGGTATTTCCTTCCTTTCTGTACAAGAAAGCTCCCCCCTCACTCTGTAGAAAACATTTTTGTCTCTAACTTTTCACATCTCTCTACACATAGGCAGGTCATCTGGGAAATGGCAAACCAATCCTTTTCAGACAATAGCACTAACAGGAGCAGCCTGTTCTGGGGACGGACTCTGGCTGCCTCTGTTCGTGGTTTACAAATTGTTCCTAATGTGAGAGATTTGTGGTCTATGCCAAGTTTTCCCCCTTTAGGCCTTGTGAAACCAAATGGAATCTGCCACAAAAGTGGCTCCCAGGGGAATTCAGAAGTAATCCAAAATGAGAGCTGGGGAGCCTAGTTTATTGTAGGACTTACAAATCCCGCAGGGAGGATAAATAATTTGTTCTATGTGTAGCTCATGCTCAATATTAGGACTTTCTAAAATGAATTAATATTATTTATTAAGTGCAATGTACAGATTTTTATGTAAGTTCTTATTTTAGAAAAAGAAAAAAATGCTGAGAAATACTCCCTTTCATGGTTTAGTGAGAGATTAGAAATCCTGGCTGCAAAACATTTTTAATGCACTGACGAAGATGTACTGTTAGGAAATCACATGCCAAAACAAACAGAGAATATTCTCTTTTTCTTCACTATGAAACGATCTGCCAGAACAGCTAGCTCAGATTTTAAAAAGCCTTCTAAAAGTAAAGACAGAAAGATGAAAAGAACAGTAAAATTCTTGCTGCAGAAAAGCCTATGAAAACCCTTTTCTGTTTATCTATTTCAGATATTATCTAGGTACATATCGTCTCCCTATAAACTACAGAACTATTAAAATAATACCTCCTCAACACCATCAAACTAGCAACAGTTTTTCTTCTCAACAACCTACAGGGACAACTTCATTAGTTTTAGTTATCTGCATGCGTTTGCCTTCGTACATGCCAACGTACTTACTGTTGTAATATTAAAACAGATCTGCATTAATTCCCAGTGCAGTGAAGTTCCTACAAGTGATTTCTTGTAATGCCTCCAGTCTGTCTTTGCTATTCAGAGTTTAAAAAACACCTTGTAGTTCCTATTAACTAAGAATTAAGTAGAAACTCTGCTTATTAGGTGTATTAAAAAGGGAGTCCCTCCATTTTTTGCAAATACAACACAAAGCCTTACTGGTGTACGACAAATCATAAGAGGTACTGAAACAGATGGAGTACTGGGCAGTCAGGAAGCAGGTAACTGGGCACATCTGCAGACAAAATCTGTAATTCTTACTTGAACAAATCTCTTATGTGATGAGAAAAATGAGTAAGGATAGACTAAGGAACATGCCTTTACTTTTTCCCTAGCTCCTCTCATTTTCTTCAGCTAAGGATACAAATAGTCCACTGCAAGATCACTAATCTCCTCACTGCAGGCAGGTATGAAGGGTGGACTGTATCCCACAGAGGGATGATTAAGATTATGGTCTTAATTATATAAACACAAATAATAAATAAATAATAAATACATATATACAAAAGCTCACAAACACAGATATGTACTATAAATTCTAAACCTTCAAGAAGTACCTCTGCGGTGACGCAGAGCAATACAGAGAATTAACAGACTTTGGTCTCTCTTCTACAGATGCATCCTTAGTTCAGTCCCTTGTTTCAGTGAGTATTTTAATATTCTAAGTATCCACTGGAACACACATATTGCCTTTTCCTAGAGAGTACCTTAATCACTCAGGCTGAGCAAAGGCCAGCACATTGTCTCTTCTGATCCACCAAATATTTGATTATTTCATGCGAAGTGGAACAGCAGAAGACAGTATTCTGTTCAATCACCCTTTCAGTAGAAAGCATTACCCTGAAAGTTGCAAAGTAGAGAGAAACTTAAATCTGGCTTTTGAGTAACATTAATTTGGGGTGAATGTTCTAGTATTTAACTGTTGGATAAATGGGTATTTTAAAAAACATAGGTAACAAGGGTCTAACTGTGGGAGGTAGTTCAGGTTTGTGAATCATCAGATTAGCAACCTCTCTCCAACCACAGGAAGCCATTTGAGCCCAGAAAGGGATGAAATGCAAGACTGCACTTTATTACATGTTCTTGTGACTAGCTTAGAGTGGCTGCTCATTTTAACTTTGTGAATTAAGTTCATAGGCATTTAATTCCTTCCTTGCATTTTATGAAAGCCTAGGTTACCTCAATAGATTCTTCACATTTGGAAAAAAACCCCAGACAAATCAGCAGTAAATCATGGTGCCAGAAATAACTATTATGAAGAGGAATACCAGTTGCTATCTGTTGACTTTAGAGAGAAACAGTGATGGAAGTGCTTTCAAAGATAAAAAGCAAGAAAAGAGTAAAGCAAAAAGGCTTCACAATAAATACCTGGAAATGTCCTCAAAAAGCTGGAGAGGAGAATGACACACAAACAAAAAATGCCTCTCTCAGAATTAGGAAGAGAAGAAACTTTTCCATTAGCAAAAGTTTGGCTAACAAGGTTGTGCTACAGCTTCAACTAACAGACCTGAAAAACAACCTTTAGAAAAGAGAATTAGCCACCTGGATGTGAAATAAAACAATCTAGAAAACATTGGCAAGGTGAGATTTATCATACTACTTTTAATTGTGCTTGTAATCAGCAAACATTACTTGTTCTGCAAGAAAAGGCTAGACTGTCCTCTTTTACCTCAAAGATTCACAGGGCAACTTGAGCTGATTCAAAGATGACATAAGAAATAGCATCTGGCAAAGTAATAATATTCTCCACAAACATACACTGAATCATTTTATTTCTCTAAATAAGATGTTCACATAGGTATAGAGGGGAAGACAGATACAGATTCCTGATTGTTGTTTGGTAAAGACTCACAGTTCTGTAGAAGATAAGCTGGAAATA